CTTATTTTGTAGACAATGATTGGAAACTTAACAAAAGGATTTTCAACTTTTGTTCTATTTTTAGTCATAAAGGTAAGCTTAATAGTAGAGCAATTGAGAAATGTTTATATGCTTGAGTGGTTGATAAAGGTTTCTCTATAACAGTTGATAATGCTAGTTCAATGATGTTGCAATCTCATACTTAAGGAAAAAATTTAATAATGCAAGAACTAGTATTGTAGGAGGCAAATATCTTCATTTGAGATACATTGCTCATATTGTTAACCTTATTATGAATGATGGGTTAAGAGAATCAACTATTTAGTTACTCATGTTAAAAGAGTAATTAGATATATGAGACAATCACCCTCTAAGTTAGCAAAGTTTAAAAAGTGTGCTATCAATGAACATATTCAAAGTAAGAGCTTGTTGTGCTTAGATGTTTGCATTAGGTGGAACTCTACTTTCTTGATATTGGAACAAGCTCAAAAATTTGAAAGAGCTTTTGAGATATTTGATAATGTTAATCCTTATTATAAAACTAAACTTTTATTAGGAGAAGGGGTGCCCAATCAAAATGAATGGGCCAATGTTAGAAAATTATGCCTTTTCTTGCAAAAATTTTACAATCTCACAATTAGAGTTTTGAGTTCTACATATGTCACCATTAACAATTTTCTTAAAGATATATGTGGTGTTTATGGTATTTTGCAAGACTGGCAATTGATTGTTGGTATTAAGTTATGTGCAATGGCTAAGAAAATGAAGGATAAGTATGACAAGTATTGGAGGAATATGGAGAAAATGAATATAATACTTTATATTGCTTTTATTCTTGATCCTAAAAAAAAAAAAGTTGCATTTGTAGAGTTTTGTTTTATGAAAATGTATTCTCGTGATCAAACTTTAGTGATGATTAAAAAAGTGCAAGAAGTAATAGTTGAGTTGTTTGATGAATACAAAAATATATTACAACCTCAATCTGAACAAGTTGGTGATAGTAACCATGCGAGTCAACTACCACCATCCACCAATGAATGTGGAACTATGGACTTATATGACTCACAAGCTATTATGGCTAAATTTAAGAGGTTTAGGAAACAATAAGGTAGAGAAGAGAATAAACTAGAGTTGGATAAATATTTGAATGAAGAGCCTGATGCTATTAAAGAGGGGGTGGACTTTGATGTTTTTCTTTGGTGGAAACTTAATAGGCATAGGTTTTCTATCCTTTCATATCTAGCTCATGATGTGTTGATGGTTCCTACATCTACAGTTACTTCTGAATTTGCTTTTAGCACTGGTGGCCATGTGCTAGATACATTTTAGAGTTCTTTAACTCCTAAGCTTGTTCAAGCTCTTATTTTTACTCAAGATTGGTTACGTAAAACTTCATATTTCGATCCAAATGCCTTAGAGGATGAAGTGGAACAACTTCACAAGATTGATTTGGGTAATTATTTTATTTATATCATTATTTTTCAATGCTTATTTCTTAAAATCTTTTAATTAAAGTTGACTTTTTTTTTATGTATTTTTAGATTTATCCAAGATTGAATTAGACCCCGTAATTGATTAGTAAAGTTTATTAATCAATTGAGGTAATATTAGCATTACTTACGTTTAATGTGATCTACACAGTTAAATCTTTCTCTTTTAGATAGTTTTAAATGAAATAATTTTTCATTGAATTATGTTGTGCTTTTATTTATTTATTGTTGGAATTTTAAAGGGTGTTGCTACCGTTGCTTGCTACCTACTACATGCTACTGCCTGCTACCTACTGCTTGTTGCTTCCTGCTACCCACTACCCACTACTGCCTGTTACCTACTAGATATTAATGTTTGAGACTTAGAATTTAAGTATTGTAATTGGTTAAGATGTTGTTGTTGCTTGTTGAATGTTGTTTGAGAATTAGACTTTATGGATTGTAATTGCTATGTATTGTATGTGTTTATGTTGTTTGAGACTTAGACTTGACTTTATAAAGCTTGTATTTAGATTTTATTTGAGTATTGCTCACTAATTTAAAGCTTGTGTATTGCTCACTGATTTAGAGCTTATGTCTTGCTTAGTGACTTAGACTTTATGAAGCTTGTGTGTTGCTCTTTAATGTTATTTGAGACATAGACTCACTCTATGTGTATTGCTCTTTAATGTTATTTGAGACATAGACTTACTCTATATTACGTATTGCTCACTGATTTAGAGCTTGAGACTAAACTTACTATGTCTGAAGCTTGTGTTTATAAAGTTTGTGTTTAGATTTTATAAAGCTTGTGTTTATGAACTATATGAAGTACATTGAAAGTTGAATATAGAAATAAGAAATCAGAATCGATTATACCAAAAAAATCAATCAAAACTAACAAGATTAAATCAATTCAGTTTTCTCGTTTTTATATTTCCTTTCGATCGATTTAGTTTTATCTTTAGGCTAAGTTGGTTAAATCAATTTTTGGATTTTTCCAACCGAATTAACCAAATTGACCAATTACTTAGTCCTACTACCCAATATCTATCTTAACCATCCTCCAAACCCTTTTTTGCTAATGCATGGGAAACATTATTGGCCTCTCGTCTAACATGCTGACATCTCCATATAGTGAAAGAATTCAGGAAGGTCTTCACATCCTCTATGATCGATCCTTCTAATTCTCTTTTTGCAAAATTTGTTTAATAATCGACAAGGAGTCCCCTTCGATTTCAATCACTTGAAAACCCATGGCAATAGCAAAACTCACTGTTTCGGCAGTAGCCATAGCTTCAATCGTGTCTACATGCCTTATCTTTTAATCTGTCTGCACACCACACCTAATACTTCCCCCTTCTAGTCCTTAGCCACCACCCCAATCCATTTTTTTTTATTCCTTACATCCAAAACACCATCAAAATTCAACTTGATAATGTCGTCATCTAGTGCTTTCCAAGTAGCTCGTTGACTCTAGACTAGGGTCATCTGTAGCTCATGTCCTTGTTGGCATCCTTAACATATTCTTGAGCAAAACACACAACAAATTAGTATGTCCTATGGATATTATTAATGACTTCCTCATTACGAGTATGCCATAATCCTTCCTATTTCTCCTAAAATTGCCCTTACATCAATAGAGGCAACCCATTGTTTTGCATCATTCAATTCCTATCCCTCAACATAAGATGTGAGTTGTGCTTCCCTCCAAACATCTGCTGATTAGGTGCATTGCACAATTGCATGCAATGCCGTTTATTTACCTTTTTTACATCTTGGGCATATACTTGTTTCTATGATCTTTTTTACATTATTTTGGTGTACATAGCTAGAAAACTGTGACACCTTTGCCTTGCAAACACCCTAATTTTGTTTGGTAAGTTTGCCCTCCATATTATCCTCACTAGAGACACCTGTATGTTGTATGTTTAGTGTATTCTTGGGAAGCTAATGAGATCAGCAGTTTATAGCCTTTTCCCACATTGTATGTACCATCCCTACCATAGTGCCAGACTATTTCTTCCTGCCCTCCTAACATATTGCATGGGATTGCCATAATATCCTCTATGGTCTCTTGTGAAAGACAATTGCCAACTTCTCCTCGTCCCACTAGTTGGTTGTCTCCTTGAACAAGTCACTAACCACTGATCTTTGATGTTCAGCCTATTCTTTTATAATGGGGATGAATCTTCCGTTTCTTGGTATCCACGGATCTATCCAAATTTTAATATTTTCCCTTGATCCCACCCGCCACCTTATGCCTTTCCTTAGTACTTCACACCCCACACATATGCTACGCCATATATATGATGGACAATGACCCAGATTAGCTTCAAAGAATGAAGACCTGGGAAAGTACTTTTCTTTTAATACCCGGTAAGCAAGGGATGACATATTTCTCAGTAACCTCCAGCCTTGTTTAGCTAATACAGCTTGCCAGTGGATTCCTCGTCCATCTTTGCCTCGGTTCCACCAATATCTACTCATTATCATGTTTAGCTCATGGCTCAAACCTTTTGGTAACAAAAAACATGACATTACATGTGATGATATGGACTGTAACACTGCTTTAATAAACTCCTCCTTACCTTCAATCAAATATCCACTTTTGGCACCAATTTTGTATCATTTTGTGCATTTTATCTACAATCATCCTAAAGGTCCTCTTTTTACCCTTCCTAAGAATCATTGTTAGCCTTAGGTATTTTTTTTCGGATTGTTTGTATTTTTTTTTTTGTTTTTTTGAGTTTTGGTTGTATTCATAAAATTTGATATAAATCATTAGTGATGTTTTCAGCTGGCTCTGATTCATCAGTCTTACACGGGGCAATGGTCCAAGACCAGTTTTGGCCATTGGTGAACAGCTCATTGGTCCAAAACCATTTATTTGCTGCAAAATGCAACAGCTCTGCCTTTTCCTTGGGTTTATTGACTGTTGAGTTGAGCACGTAAATTGCATAAAAGCATAAAGATGGCATTTCATCAAAACCATCTGCTGGGATATTTCGGCCCTATTGGATGTTAGGTGTGAGAACCCACACTTAACGCATTTGAAAGTTCCTTTTTAATTTTCTAATGACCAAATTGCTATGCCTTGTCTTGATATTACATGGATACCTAATTTTCTATGTTTATATGATGGAAATTCATACAAACTGGCAATTTGTACTTGTGAGCTAATGAATTAAAAGTAGACGTCGTATATTGACGTGTCGATCATGGCATCACCGACTGGACTGGATAAAGGTCACAGGGCATGATGGACCCCAAAGTTTTCACGTGTTAGACATTTGGGCCTATTTCCTGCCAAGTATTTATTATTTTATTTTTAGAGCTGACCTCAGAGTAAACGCTTTTGGCGTGTCTTCTAAGACGGATGTGACTATAATTCCTATTGGATTCGGATAACATACAATGCATCACCTACTTTGACTTTGTTATAACGCTTCTTTTATAATTATCAACATTAAACAATTTTTGAACTGGCTCGTTGACGGAGGTTTTTTTTTTTTTTTTTTTTTTTCTTTCCTTCTGTCATTTTCTCTTTTGGTTCTCATTCTCTTCTAAATTGAAATCCTAATGTAAATATATTATTATTATTCCTCGGTTGTTTCTTATTCGCCCAAAACCAAACTTCTTTCCTGCATTTTGGAAGATATGATCTCAAGACTTCATCTGGAAGAGAAAAAAAAAAAAAGTCCCCTACTTCAACCCTAGATTATTGTCTTCTAAATTTTAAGAATTTCCCAATTTCAAGACTTGCATGTAAAATGCATTGCAAACCATTAACAAGCCAATACTGAAGGGGAATTTCTTTCAAAAAACTAAGGACTATTGCACGAGGTTTGCCTAAGTCAATCCCTAGCCCTGAAGGAAAGCAACGATGAGTCCCCTCAACTTAAAATACACGGCCACAAAAAGGCCATGTTACGATGATTCCAAATGATAGAGGATGCCCCTCGCCTTATAAAACAACAGATTTGAAGTAAGCAAAATTGGAAAAGAAGCTCAAAGAAATTGTTTTTACTGTTTCCTTCGTGGCCTTCGAAGAAACGTTCAAGATCATGATTCATGATTCAATCACCACAAGAAAGTCACAGTTTTGAATAACAGCAGTACCAGGGATTTTAATACTACTACTAAACAAAATCCTGGTGAGGGTAGTTCCGTTGATTTGGTCCCAGCCGAAACCTTCTCTCTCTCCTTCTCTGCCAATAGGTAAAACAAGACAATTTCTGTGAAGGAGCAATCCAACACCCTTCTGTTTAAAATTCTTTGGAAAAAGAAAAAAAAAATCTTTGTAAAGGTTCAGTGTTACCGTTGCCGTTATTGACTTGCTTTTTTCCTGTTCTTTCCTATAAAAAACTCAGAGCATAACAACATTTTTGCTCATTCATTATGCTTTCTCATTGCCTTTTTCCTCAACCAAAAAGCTTCTTTGTTGCTTTCACCTAAAGGGTCAGGATTTTCTGCTTTTCTCTCATTGAATGCAGCTTTTGATCACCCAAACAACAATACAGGTACCCACTATTCCTTTGCATTTCTAATATTTTGCTGTAGTTAACTTCATCATCTTTCTTCTTTACAGGCACCCACTATTCCTTTGCATTTCTAATATTTTGCTGTAGTTAACTTCATCATCTTTCTTCTTTACCTTTTTTTTTCTTTTGATTTTTGTGATTTGGGATGCTGCAGTGCAGATAGCTTATGATCATGTCGTTTTTACCCGCACGAAAAGGGAGACACAGACAACGGTACGAGGATCATCTGAGGCTTGTTGCTGGGTAATCTCGAAATTTCATTGCTTTCTAATTTTTATATTCTTTCCTTGTTTCTGCTTCTTGTTCTTGCCTCCTTCATTTTATTTCTAGCCTGTGAAAATTGATAATAACAGTTCTTCTTTTGTTCTTTCCTTGGTTTCTTGTTCTCATGTCAGTTCTGTTAAGCTCAAGTAATGTGGTTGTAATAACATTTTTTTTAGTGTTGATAATAACAACATAATTTCAGGTGAATACGGTGTCTATGTCTTTGAGAATTAGTGGCAAGCATCATTGTTTTTCTGAGACCTGAATGCTTCTTTCAAACAGAAAGGAGAGCAAAATAACAATAAGAAGTGACAAATTACTGTGGTTAAGGTGATCGTGGTTTTGCTTTTATGTCAATTTTCTCTGATAAGCACCAAAACAGAGATGGACCTTTGCCTTGACTTTCTGTGGACCCTGTTATTGTCTTGATAGTTAATTTCTCCACATCCATTTTCTCTACAAGGACATAAACAAAAAAATAAAAATAATAATTATAAGGATACCAGTGGTCATGTTTTTAAACATAAAAGATAAGATTAAAAATGAAGAATGGACACAATAAAGATTGTATTCTTGGAATAAATTAGAGTCATTGATCACTTGAAAATTTCTTTCGAAGTGGGTAATATTGCTCTTGTTGCTTACTTTTCCATATCAACTTTCTTAATTTTTAGTGTTGCTGTTTGGAACCATAGCTGATAACAAGCACCCTTGTTTATAAGTTAGTGCAAAGTATCATGAAGAGATTGACTTATTGGAATCTTAAGAAATGGTGTAATGTCAGCTGTTACTTAACATACTACTTTTTATAGATGCATGAATTCTTACATGAACAGCTACAAACCTGCTTTGTTCTATGCGGTTTTTTCTACTCACGGTTGCTCTTTCTGGTGCAACTAGGTGTATTCCGTACAGACTCGAGAACGATGTTGAGGAGAGAAACGGCAATGCTACGAGCAGGATTACTGTTCTCATGATATCCACGCCTAATCGTGATGATCTTGTGTTCCCTAAGGTATATACTTATCTTCCCACAGCTGATCCATTCCCAAATTAGATGCTAATCTATCTGATGTATTTATATAAAAACCATACGATTGATGGAATCGTTGGCGTTGAGGTTGACACTTTTACATGATTGTCAGGGTGGATGGGAAGATGATGAGACTGTTCATGAAGCAGCATGTCGTGAGGCCCTGGAGGAAGCCGGAGTCAAAGGAATACTTGATGTAGGTTTCAATATCCCTTCTTGGCATAGGCATGACTAATATCTACTGTTGCTTATTAAATTTAATGTTTCATCGGGAACTAGAAGGAAGTATTTAGTACTCATATTATGGATACTGGTGTTATCTAACTTCTTCTCCTTTTAATTCATAGTAATTAAATTGATTTGCATTAGCTTATGCTGTTGACAGTACTGCTACAATTACTAATCTAAAGAATGTACAATTTCTTTCTAAACTGCTATTGGCAGTTGGCTAAGGTAGCAAGGAATGGAAAATATTCAGGCTAGCCTTTAGAGGTCAAGTTACATCCAGCTAAGAAAAAGATTTATTCATTCAAGTGTATTGAGTTCCTATCTTTTTGTTCCTTAATTGTTGGTATGAAGCTAATGCTCTTTGAATGGCTCTGGCTGATCTTGGTTTATTTGATACATTAATCCATCTAAATTTCTTATGTAGCATGTGCCCCTTCTGAGATTTATTCTGTAAAAATATTTGACTGGTTTCAATTATAACCAGTCAGTACTGGCAACTGGAGAGTTTAGAATTTGATGAAAATGGCGATGTACTTATGAATGGATGGAGACATAAGTTTTACTTATCAGGTAGTATATATATGCTCTATGGCGTGATGAAATCATTGATTATGGCCAGGCAGAAAAAATGGAAAGGGATGAAATTGTCTTAGAAAGGAAAATAGGATTCGAGGCAACCATACAGTGTTGGGCTAAAGCTCTTGGTGCAGTCAAAATTGTTATGCTGATGCTGCACATGTTTCCTCTCTTTGCACGTTCCATGAGAATGAGCCTTTGTACTATGTATGCCACCCTTGCTAATATGAATTTTTGTACAACTTCCCTTTCATCTAAAGCACATGGCTCAGCATGCAGTTGGTACGCTAAACAGCTTTCAAAATAGTTCCTACTTTCCATATTTCTAAATGGAACGTGGTTTGCATTGGTCTTGTAATCTTTTACGCATCCACATTTGATGATGCAGAAATTTGTATGAGGTTTAATTTCATATTTACATGCCTGTACTACTCATACTTCACAGCACAAAATCATTTCTAACTGCTTACAGTGACCTTCAAAACAGTTCCTGCTTTCCATATTTCTAAATGGAATATAGTTGCTTTGGTCTTAATCTTTTACGCATATCCACGTTTGATAATGCAGAAATTTGTATTAGTTCTTAATATCGCACTTCAATGCTCAAAATCATTGCTCAGTGCTGGCTGTGACAGATGCATTTGATGTATCATTATGTGATGATGGACCGACATTCCTTGCATAAATCTGTGTTTTCAATATATAATGGAGTCATTTTCCTTTTATTCAGGAGGATCCACTGGGAGTCTGGGAATTTAGAAGCAAGAGCAGACAGAACAGCTGCAACATTGAAGGTGGTTGTAGAGGATATCTGTTTGCCTTGGAGGTGACTGAAGAACTTGACTTATGGGCAGAGCAGACTATTTACCAGAAGAAATGGGTCAGTGAGCAATTAAGGTTTAACAGAACTCTAGGAATCTAACTTGGCAACGAACATCGCACACATTGGTCATATATATATATATATATATATCGCTTTATCTTTTATGATAAATCATCTTGACAATGCCCGAAAGGAACATTTTCCCGGCAGCTAGTTTATTTCTTAACATGTTTGGAGAAATAGTCTACAAGATGAATTTGCCCTTTTGACCACTTGAACGTATTCACTAACCTTTATTTTTGCCAACTTGATGATCATATAGCCATATTTGAACAATATTTATGAGTGAAATATTTGATTTCTTTTGCAGCTTTCCCCAGAAGAAGCGTATAAATTTTGCCGCTATGATTGGATGAGAGATGCTCTTCGAGTACTGTTGACAGCCATCGAGAAAGACAGGAAGAATGGGAGGTCAGAAAAGTTGGTGGAGTTGCCTATGTACCCAGCGTCGGATGCCCTGGCAGAGCATCAGATGTTATCAGCTGGTTGCTCTGGAAAACCATCCAGCGTGCAGCACCTTGAAGAGTCATTTACTAGTAAGTGTATTGTGAAGGGTTAATGAGTTAGCTGTTTGCCATCATTAACTGTTGAATACTGGGTCACACTCAATCTTCTTATCTCTTCTAGCTTTTACAATTTCTGTAAAAATATGGCAAATGTGGAGAAAAGAATAAACTGAACGTCTTTGTTAATATTAATGGATTAATTTTCATTTGTATGTGTATGGAATGGATTTAAATTTTTTACTTTTATTCCAAAGCAAATAAGTCAACAACATTTTATTTTACTGTAAATAAAATCATAAATTTTCAAAGTTGCATAAAAGGGTTCAATTGAATTAAATGAGACTAATGTCCATTTACTAACATCCTATCGTGATGTAATGTGTAAAATGACATACTGATATAGATGCTTACAATAAAATTTTTTCTCTTTTATCTTTCATCTATTTATTTTTTATTTATCTATTTTTTCTTTAGTTATTTACTTTGAATAATTATGAATTGAAAGTTGATTCGAGGCAAGTGTTCGAATCTATTATAGCATATCCCCTTGACCAATCTTTTTAATTTTATAAAATCTTTTTTTGGATTTTACTTACATTGGTGAAAAAATAATTTTTTTGTGCTAACCAATTTATTGTATACCTATCTTAAGTAGAAGTTTCTTTATGAAGTTTTTTTCTCTTGCATAGAACAAACAATATTACTTATCAATTCCTGTTTTATAATTTTGTTTGATCAAATAAAAATTCGGCCCATAACATTTATGTTAGTTTTTCTTTTTAAATGCATTCAAAACAATTGGCTTTTTAGGTGGTCATTTTAGAAAAGTGAAATCAAAATAATTTTTCTAGTTACTTCATTTTTTATTTCTATTTAGAAAAAATTCTTAAAAAAGCATTTTGCTTACACTGAACTAAAATAAGATGTAAATATCTCTTAGTTATCTCAACCTCAAGTAGAGTTTTTATGAACTCTTTTTCCCAAGAAATAAAAGAAAAAAAAAAGCCCAAAATCAAAAATAGGAGATAAAAAAAATTACACACAAAAAAAAAAATGATCTTAGAAAATAAAACCATTAACCATCTATCACCTACTAGACATCAAACCCCATCCTCGCACACCACTACATCGTGGTCAATACTATTCACCACTGCCACGCCCACTTAAACAAGTAATCAAAGTTGTAAATTTAGTACTAAAAAATGTTTTAATTTTTTTATTTACAATAAGATATATTGGGTCCTTTATTTATTTATTTATTTGTTTATATCCTATTAACTATAAATATATATAGTTTAGTATTAAACTACGTAATAAAGTCAAAAGAAATTTAATTTTCTTTTTTAATTTTGTATTATTTTTTATTTTTCTTTTTTACTTTTTTTTTTATTTATCAAATTGTATATTTTTAACATTTACATTTTTGCCAAAATAATAAAATTTGTCGTAACACCGAAACTCATAAAACCAATTAGTACTATTTATTATTAAGATTGGTACAAAAAATCACCATCAATGTATCAAGTTTTGTCAAAAGCAACAAGTATTGGTTGATACAAGCGATATCAAGATGAGATTAACAATTTTACAAGTTACTCTAATAATTTTGAGATTGTTAGATGATTTACAATAATACAAGAAGATACTATCATTTTTTTTTGTTAGGTATAATTTATCACTTAAAACTTATCCTTTAATAAAATCTTAGAATTAATTAAAACTTATTAAAAATATAATTTTTTTGTCTGTGAAAATAGTTTAAATTTAGGAATACGATTATGCATGAGAAAATATTAATATCCCATAGCGCTTGTTTTAAAAAAATAGTATCAATTAGCCATATATTATCTTTGGATCTTGAAAAAAAAGTCTTAATTAGACATTTGAAATTAATTTCTTTGACTCCCTTGTATTTATCACAATTTTGATTTTTTTATTTCATTTTCTTCACAAAATTTTTTTTTTCTTTTCTTTTTATAAAAATTATTATTCCATTTTTTATTTGAAATATAAAAGTTAGAACCTTATTATTGAAAATTTTTTAAAATGTTTCAGTACATTGATAATAGTGAGAAAAATTTTCTCACCTAAAAATTTTTGAAGAATTATTACTTTAACTTTTTTAAAATCCCATATTCGAAGACTCGTATATTTTTTTAAAAAAAATTCAATTAATAAAGGCAAATAATATTCACACCTTATTTTTAATTTTCTTATATTTTTTAATTAAAAAATAAATGAAAACCTATTTATATTGAATATCTTTCTTAATACTCCGATTCTTATGATAGCATTTTTAAAAATATCCTCATCTAAATATTTTTAAAGAATTGCTACTCAGATTTTCCTAATATCCCATCATCGGATGAAATTTTCATTTTTTATTATTAGATTTTTTTAACACTTGTTTTTTTAAAATATATTTATTTTTAAATTTTAAATTTTAAATATGCATAGATAAACAAATAAATAACTTAACATAAATATATTTAAATAATAAAATAAAAAATTATCCAAACAAGGTTAGTCAACCCTAGTTAATGGTTTAAAGTGGTTCACTAGTGGTTTGGATCGATTCACTTCGGTTTTCTAATGGTTTATAGTAGTTCAATCTAATTTTCTAATGGTTTGGAGTAATTCAATCCAGTTTGGATTGGTTTAGTCAACAGTTCAATTGAATCGATCCTAGGCTACCCAACAAGGGATGGCTCGGGTAAGGTACATGAATCTCGAGTTAAGTTTGGGTCCATGTATGGGTTTTTTGATTTCTTTCTTTTTTCTTATAAAAGCCAAGTTTCTTTTTACTTCATTCCAAACCTTTCACCAAAAAAAAAAAAATCTAAACTCTTTCAAAATCAAAAAAAGACTGGCCATCTCAAACCCAAAAATTGGTTAATGATTGTCGTTGCCATCGTCGTTTGTCAACAACAGTTGTAGACACTTAATTTAATCCGAATCGATTTGAGTCTATTCAATTTTTGTGCTTAATTTAAACATTTTAATTCAGGCCAAATTATGTGTTGCAATTGGATTGAGCTACTTTGGGTTTTTTTCAAATTAATTGTTTTTCAATCATTTTGCATAAACCAAAAATTCAACTCAATTTTATTTGGGTATTCAAAATTCAATCACTTTGGCTTGAAAGCCCAATTAAAGGCCCAAAGCCCAATTGTGAACTCCAAATTAATTTTTAAAGCTCATGTCTATTTTGCTAGATTTTAAATTAATTTAATTTAAATTAAAAAAACAAAAAAATGCAAAGTGAAAATTGTTTAGAGTTTCGGTGGCCAAGTTTTCACTTTCTCTTCAAACCAAGATCACTTAATTTCCATCTCTAGTTATCCACTATTTCTCCTTGATATTTCCCCTGTTTACCTCTAACCCAATTTAATCAAAACTCTTTACTTTTTCTCCCTTCTAAATGCAGCAACAATTGCTACAACATCAAGCCAAAATCTGCTTGTCTACCTTTTCAAAAAATCATTTCATTGCAAGCATTTTACTTTGGGATTCCTAATAAACTGGAAGGCAATTTACGAAGGGATAAGAAGGATACATAATAGATAGGGAGAAATTTATAGAAAGGAGCTAATGAAAAATCTTGACTATCCACCCTAAAATACCCATAGCCAATAACCACCTTATCTCCCATTGGCCAAAACTCACCCTTTTATCGCCACTTACCCAATTTACCACTAAGAGTACATACCCTCTTACCAAACAACCCCACTTTCAATCACCATAACAACTTACCTATAACCTCATAACAACAACTAAATTCCATCTAGCCCTCAATTACTCACACTACCAAGTAACCAAAAAAAAATAAAACATAAAAATCAATTTAACCACATTCTTCTTGGAGGAAGTCACAATATTGAAAGTAAAGAAAAGCTAGCAAGAAATCAAAAATAAAAAAAAAAAAGCACAAATTGAGAATATGACTGTGCAAAAATCGATTTTAACCAAAAAAATTGATAAAAAATTTATCTATAAATTAAATCGATTTTGATTTTTTTAGTTAAACATATTAAATCGATTTGAATATCAGTTAAATTGGTTTAGGCGATCTGTTTTTGGTTTTAAGATTCATGAACCAAATCGATCGAAAAACTCGATTAAATATTATTAAAATATTTTATATTTGTATTAATTTAATTTTTTATATTCTTTTTTATCTTTTACATTTTATAATTTATACAAAATTAAAAGTAAAACTCTAAAACTCTAAAAGAGAAATTGTGAAACCCTTTTTTTTGTTACTTTCTCTCACTAGTGACCAACACAAGTATGCAAACCTCACCGACTCACCTAGACACCCACTCAGTCACTCACCCTTGCAGCCATTTTCGAGTTGATCTTGAAGGTGTAAGCTTCAATCAACAATCACTAACCACCAATGAGGCGATGACCACCGCAACCTTCAGTCAACTCCTCTCACCTCTCACAGTTTTTCATCCACTCAATCTTCTCTCTTCTGTAACTCAACTCAAGGTAAGATCTTTATCCTACTTTACCCATGCTTTTTGCTCGATCTTCACATCACAAGTCAAATTTTGCTCACTTTAATGCCCTATTTCAACTAATTCTCATAATAATTTTCTAATCCTCAATCAAAATATATTTGATTATTTAAAAAAATTATGGATATTATTCAGTTCCAAGTGGATTTTGTCTGTAAAATTCGTAGTTATATAGTTTTAAATTAGAACTACTCTACGGAGCTTCACTGTGGAAGAAAGATTACATTGTCATTGCCATTGTTTGCGTTTGATAGCTTTTGCATTAATCACCCATCGCCCTTGTTGGTGAACCAACTACCACAGATGCATCTTGCAATTTGGACCCTTAAACATGTTTTTCTCTCTTAAAGCATTTCAATTCCAGTGTCCCACCTATTTTTCATCCTTTAAATAATACTAATACCCAAAAATTTCTTTATATATAATTTATCTAAATTTGCTTCTTTACTCATGAAAGTGATAATTTAGTCTACAAAATTATGGATATCTATGTGGCTTTATCACCTTCCAAGCTTTGGTACCCATATTATGCTCTCTATAATCTATATATACCATAACCAAAATATAAAATCAACTTAATGATTATTGCAATAGTAGCTTTTTCCATGATGATATGAAATTTCAATAGGGTGACCAAGAATATAAGAATGAAGCTGAGCATGGC